TTTTTAGGGTAGCTTAGTGGGTTTTGAGCACTTGAAATGACATTTGTGTTGTATTGACAGAATGGGTTGTTACACTCATTTTGTCATGTCAGAAGGCCCTGTACTAGTTGGAAGTATTGTTAACCAGTATTGATAAATTTGCTGAGAATAAAAGTTAGCTGGATCAACATTTTACTTGTCTAACAGCTTGCTGTTTGTGGTTTGCTTCCTTGTTAGAGACCTCTGTGTCTATTAACAGGTCAGAAGACTTTCTATGACAGCTCAATTTAAAACTTTAATTTTACTATTACAAGCATTAGGATCATAGGAAACACTTAAATATGACCACTTAGTGTTAAACAGGTGGGGTTGTGGACTGGAGCTGTGCAGTGACACTTGGCAGTGCTGCCTGGTTTCCAAAGGAGTTGTGCACATGGGATGTCTCCTGGCTTTGCGGGAAAGCTACAGTGCTCAGCGGCTTAGCTTATACTAAGAGCATACCTCCTGCTGGGAAATTTGTGCAGAATTTCCCACTGTGCCCTCTAAGGTCTTGGTGTGTATCTGTGGATACTGGTTTCAAAGTATTGTTTCCTGGTTATACTACTCAGTAGCATGAAGATAGAATTATGATTCCAGCAGCTGTGCCAATTTTTCCTTATTCCTTCTGCCATTAATAACTAACAGAATTTACTGTTAATTAATTTTATTAATTCAGAATAGGTGTTTTATAAAGAGAAGAATAGAAGAGGCCTAATGTCTCTATGGGAGCAACAGCTACAATTCCAGTACTGCAAAAGTTTTTCTGAGATGCAAACTTTTCATGGATTTGTTCTCCTTTTACACAGCACATGGTGTCATGGTTGACATAATGCATTTATACACTGTCTTTAGTACTTTTTCATTGACTCAGAAGAGGACTCACTGCTCTGAATATCTTCAATTGATGGAATGCTTTGCATCTCAGTATATACTTTTCATTACACAATTCTTATTTGAAACTTCTGCACATACTGCTTCTACTAACCCATGAAGGAAATCTATATTTGTACAACCTAACATAAATTTAATCTCAATTCATGCAACCAAATCTGTACTTATTCAGCAAACCCAAGTTTTGTCATTACAGAGAAAGGAAAGACTGTTGTATCCTGTAAATCAGATAATGTGAGTTTATTGCATGCTTATTGTTCCAGGTTTATCACATGCTTAACAGTTTCATAATTATTATGGACTTCAGAGATTTGATATATGAAATTACCTGAAGAGTGTATGCAGGAGCTGAGAATAAATGGTAATAATAGTGCTCTCTGGCCTTAAAATCTGAGAGTAGATACACTACTGCTGTTTGTCTGTTCTTGCTTTGGTCTGAGGCAGCTGACTTTCTACTTCATTAAATTTCCAAGATCCTCAATTGTAATTCCTATCTCATTTTGAACTGCATTTTTACATTACGGGATATCGTGCAGTACTCTCAAAATTGCTTGGAAAGAAACATTGTTAGTACAAGTTTGTTTCTAGAATATCACAGAAGTCATTTTCAAAGGCCTCCAAACCAATATGAAGGTCTACAAGGTCTTGTTCATTTGCCAGTGTTTGTACGTGATCTGTATTTATGTAAGACTGCATCGTCAGATGAAAAATGTCTTTGGAATTTGCTTTAATAACATTCCAGATATAGACTATGTAACCATTTGGCAAGTCTAATCTATGACATCAGAGTGCTGATTGAGACAAATCTTTGGTGGCTTTATGCCACCTTTTTTGACTCCATTGTTTTGAACTGATGAGCTCACAAGCTCAAGTAGCCAAATATATTGAAAGGATCCATAGGTCTTGTTAAGCTCTGTCAGTTGAACTTGAATCACTTACAATTTTCTAGAGTGAAAGGAGTCAAAGCTGGACAAGTTTAAAAAGGAACTAATGTCTATCCACATTGTTACATTAACTTCGGGAATTTCAAAGTAGGTCTCATTGCTGAGAATTACAGATCTCTGATGCTGAGAATTATATAGCATGATTTAAGAATGCATTGTGGAAAAATTCCATAAATCTCAGCTCCTTGCTCCTGTGGTCTTGAGAGTGCAAAACTATAAGGTCAATCTCACCAATATGTGTGACTTCATATTTGTAAGTCTATTCATTCTAACTACCAACAGAGAGTAACTGATGGTGAAAATAATTTTGAAGAAGCCTGTTTTTCTCCACTTACAACCTATGTTCTTCAGAAGGATTATTTACATAACTTCATAACTTCTATGCTATGTAGCAAACAGCTTAAATTCAAGATGATTCCTATCAGAATCAATGAGGAGTGCATCACTGTGTTCCCTGCATGTTTTGAGTGGTCATTTCACCACCGTGTAAGATGGATGTGAGAACCTGGCTTACAATTCCTTTCTCTTTATTCTGTGAGGTAGATCTTTCAAGGCCAGGTGGTGTTTTCAGGCCTTACTTTATCTCTCTGTTGGAATCCAATTAAAATCTTTATCTTCAAGTACAGAAAAAATAGAAACAAGATCTGTTTCCCAGAAAGGTATTTATATTTTATATGCATGCTATGCAATTTTTACCTAGTGTACATTCTAAATTTCTTTAATTCATGTAACTCTAAAGCCAGCATGCTTTTATTTATCCATCAGACTCTGTAATGTTTCCTAAATGTGGTCAAACATAAATGCTGTCGTCATAATCAGAGCCAGTTGTTTAAATGCTCAGTTGTGAGTATCTAGTGGAATAGTTTTAAATAACAAGATAAACAGTACAGCTGCCAAACCAAAGTAATCTTACACTGAGGGGGTGTGTGGCACAAAAAATTTCCTCTTTGTCATTTTGATTTGAGTTTGAAGCTGGACCTGGGCTTAGTTCCAACTCAAAAACACTGTTCACTTCAAAGGCTCCTAAATCGTCCCAAGGAGCTAATTTTGGCAGCCAATTGTTTTTGTTTGGCCAGGAATCCTAATAGCAAAAGCCGTCTGCTCCAGCAAATGAAGATCTCTGCAATGCTCAGCCTTCCCATTCCTGATTTTATCCTGATATGGGGGGTGCACAGGTTTCACTGGTTTCCCTGTCTCACTCAAGGTTCACCACTTGTCAAACTGTTCATGATTTCTTAAGCTGTATGTAACTGTCCTGCATGTTAATTAAAAAAATACTTCCTGTTTAAAAACAATGGATATCATGTTCTGCTCTGAATTACTGCTTAATCCTAAATTATTGCTGGATTATCTGCTTGCTTTCTCAGCAACTAGAGCTTGTTTGTTGATTTTTCCGTTCCCATGAACAGAATTATTCTGGTTAATTTACTGAATTAAATATAACTAGCGTCACTTTAGAAGGAAACCATTTGCAGTTGTATTGGAGATATCATAATATTTATTATAATAATTATATGGACAACTTTTCTTGTGGTAAGAAGGTGCTGGTGATTTGGAACAGACACTGAAAATTAGAGTATTTTGCCATTCTAAAAGTTTAATATGAAAATATGCAAATAGGCTGTTTCTGTTGAATAAGAAATGGGCCAGTACAAGGCATAGAGAAACATTAAAAAGTAAATCTTGTGAATCATTTAGGAATGGGATAGTACTCACTTTCACAGCACACATGGATTATTTTATTTTTAATGTATGTCTACCTTATTATTTTAAGATTTATGCATCAGAATTTTGGAGGAATCATAATAAACAATTTAAGTATGAGATGTAAGAAATGATATTGTCTCAGTTTGGCAACATGCAATGCAGATTAAATGCAGGTGGGCCCAACAAGTGTTTGCATGAAGCTTACTAGAAGTCAGAGGTGCTCTGCTGAGATACAGCTGAACTGTGGTCTGTGAAGTAGCCAAGTCCAAATTGTCCAGGGAATGATAATTCTGTTTCATGTCATTAAAAAAAAAAATTAAAAAAAATCATTCTATCTTAAAGAGAAAATGAAACTTTTCAAATTGGGAAATGTGTTGAAAAGATAAAACTTTTTTGCTTTCATTCACTCATGGCCTCAAACATTCCATGAAGACGATTCAATTTCATTCACTTTCACAGAGATACTTGCTGGCAATAGAAAACAGTACAAAGTATTCAGACCAACTTCTTAAAAATGAATCATCAGATCCTAGAAAGCTGAGAATTTATGTGTGGCATGTTACTGTCTAAAAGTAAAAACCATTTTAATACAAACCAAGTATATTCTATTTTTATACTATCTTCAGTACTTCAGGTTCAAAGAAGATAATTTTATTAAGAAGGCTTTAAAACCTTACCTTAAATATGATGGACTTGCTAATCATTTACCATGAGTATTTGTTAGTAAGTAGAGAAATCAAAATATGGTTTGGAACACTTAGTTTGATTTACATTCTTGTTTGTTGGCTGAACTGACATTGCACTCTTAAGGCACAGCTTCACTTGTGTTTCCCTCATTCAATTTAGATTTTTAAGCATTTGCATTTAAAAAATTTAATGTGATAAGCAAGAATTTTACCTGGGAAAAAAAAACATGTTCAGGAATCACCCTGCTTCTCCTAATCAATTTGTTGCCACTAATACTTAATTAATATATATTTGTTTTGTTACCATTTTATTACCATTTCTTTTGGAGCTGTTTTAATACATTTATTTCAGTGTTAACCAGAGTGGAAAAGTTAAAATATAGCAAGGCTATTGTGCTTTCTTTAACCTGCCTGGTTGCCAGGGAGGAGAATAAACCTCTGCATACCATGATTTACCAAGGACTGTAAAATGTAGTTTCTAGAGCAGGAAATTTCTGCAGTTCTTATAGTTGCTGAGAGTTTGAAATACATATTTACTTTCAACTAAATCCATTCTTTTGGTCCTCTTCAAGGTAATATTAATTTAATGTTAAAATGTATATTTAACATTCACTATTTTGCATAACTTGTATTCTATCTTATGTAATGAAATGTAACTAGAAGACAACGTTTAGGACTCTAAAATATCTTAAAAAGAAAAAAAAAAGGCAAACCCATTTAAGCCTAACATCATTTTTTTGTCTCTTTTCTTTAGGACTTTGAAACACTGTTTTCATCGATTGTTCTCTTCGAAAAGTTTGGAAAAACTTATTCCAGCACTGGACAAATAGTGTAAATGTCCAGAAAACTACAAACTATAAGACTATGAAAAGTAGTCAATAAATTTATTTCAGCAAATACACAGCAGCATGGTGACTGAATGTCCCAAAAAATACTCTTTGTGTGATGTATACTTTGTCTGAAGTAATTTTAATTGATTTTGCTTGAAATTTAGGCAATATGGCTTCCAAGATTTATAAAAATTAATTTTTTTAAAAAAAGTATTATCTTAAGGAAATTATTTCTGCAAATGCTGTACTTTGTTTAGTATAAATAATTTGGGATGCAAAATCAGAGTTATCAAATAAAATACTTGGAACCACATTTATTTATTACATGTTTGTAAGTGAGGTTAACACTAAAAAGAAAAAAGTGTAAAATTTATCTGTCTTTTCTTTCCTCACAACTATAAATGTATCTGGTCCATCACTGTTCTTCATCTTCAGTGTTAGTATCCTTGACTGATCCATGACTTCAGAAGTGCAGAATAGGTATTTACGTGGAAAATATTATTTAAAAGCCTGTTAGTAATTCTGTGGGTGAAAGAACTTAAGTTTTGAAAAGGTAAAGTTCTGAAAACATAGATACCTTTATTACGAGGTCAATTTCTCTAATTCTATTTAATTTTCTTTATCAGTACCTGCACATTTACTCCTATCCCATATGCCTTGAGTACAAAATAGTATGATGCTTGGTCAGAAGAACACACTTGATGACACAAAACTGATGCTTATTTCCTCTGTCCATTAGCAAGCAGTCCTACAAAATATTGAGTATCCTCAGAGCCCATCCACTTCACAAGTCTCAGAGAATTCAGCATCATGGGAAGATCTCAGCATATCTAAAGATCAAATTATAAGCTGGTTCTTAAAATCATGTGAGAGAATCTTTACAGGAATTTAATGCTGAATTTTCTATGATACCATATTTGCTTTTTATATCATTTGACTATATTTGAAGCAAATATGTCTGTTCATCTCTTACTCAGTAGTAGGCTTTTTTATTACTAGTTGTTTTTTTTTTTTTAAATGTGATTCTTCTGGCCTCTAAAAATGTGAAGAAAACCTCAATGTCTGTTTGTATGAATATTTTCTGAACCTGGTCTAGTGGAAGATGTGCCTGCTTATGGTGTGGAGGTTGGAACTGGATGATCTTTAAGATCTCTTGCAACCCCAGCCACTCTGATTCTATGAACCAAGAGTCACAAATTTCCCTTCTATAGGTTTTCATCTCTCAGCCTATGTGAAAAGGTTTTACTGCTACCACACACCAGAGTAAAAGCCCTTCCAATTCCATTCCAGCAGGTTGCAAGAGCTGTACCGGTATCACTTTTTGGAGTTTGTTATTTTCAAGCTTTAAAAGTTTATTTCTGTTATGAGAAATTAAGTCTGGGAAGCAGGAAGCAGCCACCCCAGTGGCTGAGTTTTCTAGGTAAGATTTAATCTGATCCAATGTATCAGAGTGCTTTAGTTGTCCCTGGAAGGGACTGAACACTTCAATGAGACACTTGTGCAAAACTGTTGATGAATAAAGATGGCACAGTAATTTTTATATGTGAGAGCTATCTATTTGATTGCTTCAGCTTTCAAGTAGTTCATCACAGTAATTCACCCTGTGTTGCCTCTTTAACTTCCTACTGCAGTTTCCCATCAGTCCGATTAGAAATGGCAATGCCTTTATCAGATTAATCTTTCTTTCTCTTTCTTCCTTTCAGTATCTCTGACCCCAGGACAAAGCAAAGCCTCCCACGCAGCCTGTACTGCAGGGTGGTGGTGCACGTGGCTGAGGGACCAGAGCACAGGGGGAGATTAAACCCAACACTTCCAGTTGGAATTGTTTGATACACACACACCTTTCCTCATCTTACCAAAAAGAACCCCAAAACTTTTCTATTTCTGAGCAGATAACCAGAAACATTCTTACACAAAACCAGGTATGCTTACTTTATTAGATAAATAAACACCCACAAAACTAATAAAGTAGCAAACGTATTACCTGTGGGGTTTGGATTTTGGGCATCTTTTGCAAATTGCATTTCACAAGGAATCCAATTTTCTTTATCTGGAGTTCAAACAAAATTTGTCATTCATGGGCCTATAGCATCCAAATTATTTTGTGTGGCCACAGTATAACCTCAGAACCCTTTTATTTCTCATCAAATACATTCAGCACTTCCATTTACACAAACCACTTGATAATTATTCTAGAGGGACTATTTTGCTTAAATAGAAATGTTTGCATGTTGCAAACTTAGAATTTTAACTAAAGCCAGTTAAAGCTAAAATTTTTACATTTCTGTTCACTGCAGTAATATAATGAACAAGACAGGAAGAAATTTGATGGTATCACTGTGTAACCAACTGTCAGTATAAATACTGATTGTGTGAGTGGTTTTACTTTACTCGTGTGTAACTTTCTTCCTGATATAGTTTATTCTTCTGTTTTAATTACCAAACTGCTTTTTCTAATATATTTTTCTAGTATATTGTATTTTTAACATGTTATATATTCTGTGTTTTCTTTATTAATAAAACTGTTGGTTTATAACATGCTTCAGAGAAGACATTTCTATCTTATTATTAAAATCTATTCTTAAAGTACAAAATCTTAACACACAGAATAGCACCAGGAAATAAGTAACCAAGAAATGAGCTGTGAACTCTGAAAACTTGTAAGGGACTCCTGAACCTTGAAGAACCTGCAAGACTTGTATCCTCTTAGAAATGTTGTTGGCTATGACATTTAGCAGAACTCTCACAACAGTGCCTGAAAATCAAAAAGAATCACTGTGATGGTAGGGAAATAGACAAATGTCAGTCTTGGAAAAAAAAGAATGTACTGAATGTATTTCAGTTAATTGTAGTCAAACAAATGTGAATAGTAAAACATCCATAGTCAAACTCTAGCAAAGCACCTGATTGCTGTTGTCTGTAACAACAAAATATGGCCTTCAGCATGCAGCAAGACAAGAATGTTCCTTCCTTTTCAGCAGCAGAAAGGTAGCTTTTGTAATTTGAACTGACTTTGTTCACATGTAGAGAGGAGATTAAAAAACAGAGTTTGGATTTTTCCTACTGCATGTCTGCAGAGGCTTAAAAAGACCTCTAGAAAACGGCCTGAAGTGGGAAGAGCCCATCCTAACAGCTCACTATCAGAGCATCTCATGATGTATCACTTAGATATTTTTGTCTTACACTCAAAAAGCCTGGAACATAATACTTTGATGGCAGTTATATCTGAGAAATTTGTATTTCTCATTTTATCATAGATCTTGAGAGAGTCAAATTATAATGTTATTTGGTTTGTATCAGGTGCATGGCCTACATGCCAGGTGCAAAGCATTCAAAGCCTCTTTGCACCTCCTTACTAACGACCAATGATCTTTGGATTCAACCACCTGTGGGGATGGCAGAGCTCGTAGAAAGATGCAGGCAAAGTCATTAAAAGGGAACAGCTATGTGCAAAAATTGGTTCACAACCTGTCTCATCCTGGGAAGCTTCAGGTATATTAGAAAATGTCTGGTAACTTCTATTTTTACCAAAACTATCTGCTATTGCTCAGCGGATTAAAGATCCTTCAATATTGCTGCCTAATAGTTTTTTGACTGCTACATAGCTGATGTTGTAAACACAGCAAAATATCTTAATTTAGGCAATTTAAGAACTGCCTTCTGGGCTGATCCAAGATGTTCTCAACACTTTCCAGGGAAAACATTTAGCTTGCAATGCCCTCTAGAGGCAGATTTGCCATAGTAGTGGTGGTGCCTGCAGATATGCTCTTAATTTTTGTTTTTAAATTTTTTAAAATTTTTAATTTTTTTGTTGTTGTTGTTGTTAACCACATGTCACATTTCTATAGGACCTGAGATTAAGAAATATTATGGGCTCTGCTACTGATCTACGTGCCTCATTCTGGACTTGTACTGCAGGTGCTTCCAACTGAGATGGGATCATATTTAAACTGCAAAGTATCATGGTGATGTTTGCAAACAATAATGGATTTTTACACATCAATGGTTGACATTGAATAATGCTCTGAAAATATCCAAATTAAAAATATTTCTGATATTTTTCTGATATAACAATCAGCTTATTGTTATTGCAAAGGGTGTGTTTGCCACATGCCTTCCATAAATCTGTGGCTCTTGGTTTAATGAATTTGGAAGTTCTGCTTAGTTGAATGAGGTTCTCTGTCTTTTCCAGGCACCCATGGGTTCTTATGCACAGAATAGCAGAGACTGAAAAGCAAAGGAGGGGCATAATTCCTTAATATCAAAATCTGGGTTGTCCCATACTAAAACAGAAACACTACAACTACAAGGGAGTCGCATCCATGTAATCTGAAACACAATTTGAGCCTTGAAACTTTTATTTGTCTTCATTCATAAAAATTTTTTTTGGGATTAATTTTCTTTCACTGGTTGACAAAGCTTTCTGGTAGGCCTGGAAATATGTCAGCAAAAAGGCTCAGGCAATGCTGGCTTGGCTTCATATTCTTCCATCTTTTAATAGTTCAGCTCATTAATGAGAAAATCATCTGGCTGCTGGCACAATCAGATGCAGTCACTTAGCAGTACATTGAGTTCAGTTTATAGTACTCCGATTCATATTCATGATCAGAGGATGCAGTGGAGCAATTCATTTGTGCGCTGCTGCATTAAGCAATCAATGCCAAAATGTGACATATTGAGAGTTTGCATTAAACTGCTTCCTTTGAGCATCTTTGAGTAAAAAAACTCCTAAGTGCAGAAATCTGTTGAGATAAATCACTCAGCCACTTCAAGAAAAATTTTGAGATTCCATATATATAACATTTAGTTTAAAAAATAATCCATTTAATGTTGCTATTGTACATGACATGGTCATGTCCCAAAATGCAAGTTTAGATTATTTTAACGGCTAATAACATGTACAAACTAGATCAGAATTATCCCAAACTGAACCCCCTTTCTTAATTTATTTTTTTCTGTCTAGTGAAAATTAATGTTCCTGTTTTGGCTGAAGATACTCAACAAT